AAATCGAAAGGCTGATAGGGAGGCAAGAAAGGCACCTCTACAGGCCCTCAAGCACCTAGCATCGTTCCCAGTTCCTGAGGTCAAGTAGAGTCCTAACAGCCCTAATGCACCACAACACTTAAGTGGACAGTTATATTGAAGTTCTTGTTTTTAATTCCACACCTTATGTGGGTAATCTTGCTAAGGCTGTCTCTCTCAGACTCTCAATAATGTATCTAACCTCTCTCTTTGCCATATTTTGTCTTCCACAAAGAGAAGGGAGATCTGCTCCTCACATTTGAGTTTTATATTATCACAATGATGGTAAAGTTACTTTCTTTCTAACATTGTAGAAACAGACCACTAACTCTTTTTTCATTATCTTCTACTGGATTTTCTTTCTTCAACTCAGCCAGGAAGCCACAAAACTCCGAGCCAGTTGGAGAATGCATGCTCCCCAGTAGGGAGGGTCTATAAGCCCTTTGCAGCTGGAAAGAAGCTATAGAAGATAGAAACCTCTACTCCCTCAACACTTCATGAAGAATTGTGGGGAATGAAACAGGAGATTGGGGCATGGCAGACATAGCTGGGGAAGTAGGTGTGACCTGTTAATTGCAAAATCCAAGAACACATATTCAGAACAGTTTCCAAAGCCCTGAGCCTGAAGTTGTTTTCCAAAGGATGATCTAGACCTGACATCAGCCTAGACAGTCCACACTGAGTTTTTGTGTTGTGTTCTCTCTTGCCTGAAAGCTACCTTCATACTTTAGGGCAAGCCCCTTTCCCTACATATACTTGGCTGAAACTTGCTCTGTAAAACTTGTTTCTTTTCCTACCTTTAATAAAAATTTGTTCCCAAAAGGAAAATCTATGTCAACACAAGGGAGACTCCAAATGAAAGCAATATTGAGAACTCAGATCAAGTACATGATTTGATTTTAATGTTTTATTTTGCTTGGAGATACCTTGACTGAAAAGAAACTTTGGATGGCATTACTATTATTAATTGGATTAATTCATGTATTTCTCATCAACTAGGTTCAAACTGATAAAGGTTCAAAGTCATAAACTAGGTTCAAAATCTATAATTTTGCAACATGTAACTT